TGATCAACCTGGCCCTGACCTGAAGCCCATCGGATGTTCAACCCTACCCTGACCTGCAGCTCACCTGGCGACCCCCCTCAACCTTCCAATCTGGACTCACGCAAACTGGAACCTGCAACCTACAACCTTCCGAACTGATCTCTATCCACCCAGATCCTAATCACTAGAACTCCTGCTACAAGAAGCTGCTTCAACGTGATACGCCACTGCACGGCGGACTATCCGCAACACTGCGCCCTGAGAAACCTTTCACCTCCCTCATCTGTCCGCCACTCTGTTTACCCTGCTAAAATGCCACCTGTACTCCTCCTCCTCCTCATACTCCTCTCCTCCATTCCCAAAATCTCCTCTCTCTACCCCCCTACTCCTCCAAAACAAATATACATCGCACCCTCACTACTTCCATCTCCCCACTACGGCTCTCACCACCTCCTCCTGATACTCCACTCTCCCACCGACCCAAACGCCACCACTAGCAGACTCACGCACTCTTGCACATCCCGCTTCCATGCCACCTTTCTCACCCTTCTTCTTCTCCTAACCGCTGGGGACATCTTCCCGAACCCTGGTCCCTTACCACCTCACTCACCCACTAGGCACCCTCCTACTTCCACAAACTTCCGCAACCCCCTCAACCTAATACCTGTGCCCCTGCTCCCCCACAGCCACCCCTCCATTCTCGTGTGCACTCCTGAAACACCCGATCGGTTTGCAACAAGCTCACCACCATCCATGACCTCTTTGTCTCCCGCTCCCTCAACCTCCTAGCGATCACCGAAACCTGGATCCAAGCCACTGACTCTACCTCCCCTGCGGCACTCTCCTATGGAGGTCTTGTCTGGACCCATTCACCCAGACCGAGCGGCCGCAGAGGTGGTGGGTTCGGCATGCTCTTGCCACCACTGAGCACCTTCCAGGTCCTCCCAAACCCCCCCCTCTCTATCCTTCTCCTCCTTTGAGGCCCACTGCATCCGGCTATTCTCTCCCACCCCTCTGAGGACTGCAGTAATCTATCGGCCTCCTGGACCCGTATCCCGCTTCCTCTACGATTTCTCTGATTGGTTACCCTTCTTCCTCTCCTCAGAGCTACCCACCATCATCCTTGGAGACTTCGATATCCCTATCAATGTCAACAAACCGGCTACATCCCAACTCCTCCACCTAACCTCTTCTTTTGCACTCACACAGTGTACACAGTCCTCCACCCACTCCGACGGGAACACCTTGGACCTTGTTTTCTCTCATCTCTGCACCCCCCACAACCTCACAAACACCCCTTTCCCTCTCTCTAACCACAACCTCATTACGTTCTCCATCTCCCCGTCCTTAAACACCTCCCCCCCCATACATCAAATCATCACCAGCCGTAACCTCCGCAACCTGAACCCTGCCCCTCTCCACTCTGCAGCTGACCGACTTTATGACAATATCCTTCCACTGTCCTGCCCTGACCTGGCCACTACTGTTTATAACAACTCGCTGTCAGACGCTCTTGACTCCTTAGCACCCCTAACCACAAGTAGCATTAGACCCCGACTGCTTCAACCCTGGCAGACTGACCACACCAAGAATCTTAAACGACGCAGTCGCGCTGGAGCGATTATGGTGCAAAACCAGATCCTAAGCGTTCACCCTATACAAAACTGCCTTCCTCACCTACACCTCCTCCCTCCACGCCGCCAAACAAGCCTACTTCGTAACCCTCATCAATACCCTCTCCTCCAGTTCTCGCCGGCTCTTCTCCACTTTTAACTCCCTACTCTCCCCCCCCCCATCCTCCACCCAGTACCTCACTCACCGCCCACAAGATTGCTAACCACTTCCAAAACAAGATCGGCACAATCCGTAGGGACATCGCCAATGCTCAAACTTCCACCCCACCTAACCTCCCGCCCATGATAACCCACTCAACACTCCCCTCCTCTGACCTTGCAACTGCCCAGACCCCCACCCCACCCAACATCCCTCACACTAAAACCCCCCCAACACTCCACTCCTTCGACCTAGCTACCACTGAAGAGGTCGCTAAGGTCTTCTCCGAAGCCCGCCTCACCACCTGCCCCCTTGACCCTGTCCCCACACAACTCCTACGGTCACCCTCCTCCTCCATCCTATGCTCCCTCACCCACATCTTCAATCTCTCCCTCTCTACTGGCGCATTCCCTTCCCCCCTAAAGCACGCGCACATCACACCCCATACTCAAAAAACCCTCCCTGGACCCCACCGACCTGAACAACCTTAGACCCATCTCCTTGCTGCCATTTACATCCAAACTCCTTGAGCGCTTAGTCTATAATCGCCTAAGCTCCCCACCTCAACGACAACAACCTCCTCAATCCCCTACAGTCTAGCTTCTGTCCCCTACACTCCACCGAAACCGCTTTACTCAAACTCACCAACGACCTGCTAACCGCCAAAGCTAATGGCCACTACTCAGTCCTCCTACTCCTCGACCTATACATAAATACTGTATAATAATAATAATCTGTCTCAAAAAAATACAAAAAAATTCATATGGGTACAGTGTTGCATGACCGCGCAATTGTCATTCAAAGTGTGATAGCGCTGAAAGCTGAAAATTGGCCTGGAGAGGAAGGGGGGGGAAAGTGTCCGGACTGGAAGGGGGTGAAAGTGTCCAGACTGGAAGGGGGTGAAAGTGTCCGGACTGGAAGGGGGTGAAAGTGTCCGGACTGGAAGGGGGTGAAAGTGTCCGGACTGGAAGGGGGTGAAAGTGTCCGGACTGGAAGGGGGGTAAAAGTGTCCAGACTGGAAGGGGGGTAAAAGTGTCCGGACTGGAAGGGGGTGAAAGTGTCCGGACTGGAAGGGGGTGAAAGTGTCCGGACTGGAAGGGGGTAAAAGTGTCCGGACTGGAAGGGGGTGAAAGTGTCCGGACTGGAAGGGGGTAAAAGTGTCCGGACTGGAAGGGGGTAAAAGTGTCCGGACTGGAAGGGGGTGAAAGTGTCCGAACTGGAAGGGGGTGAAAGTGTCCGGACTAGAAGGGGGTAAAAGTGTCCGGACTGGAAGGGGGTGAAAGTGTCCGGACTGGAAGGGGGGGAAAGTGTCCGGACTGGAAGGGGGTAAAAGTGTCCGGACTGGAAGGGGGTAAAAGTGTCCGAACTGGAAGGGGGTAAAAGTGTCCGAACTGAAAGGGGGTAAAAGTGTCCGGACTGGAAGGGGGGTAAAAGTGTCCGGACTGGAAGGGGGGGGGAAAGTGTCCGGACTGGAAGGGGGGAAAGTGTCCGGACTGGAAGGGGGGGAAAGTGTCCGGACTGGAAGGGGGGAAAGTGTCCGGACTGGAAGGGGGGGAAAGTGTCCGGACTGGAAGGGGGAAAGTGTCCGGACTGGAAGGGGGGGGAAAGTGTCCGGACTGGAAGGGGGGGAAAGTGTCCGGACTGGAAGGGGGTGAAAGTGTCCGGACTGGAAGGGGGTAAAAAGTGTCCGGACTGGAAGGGTTTAAAAGTGTCCGGACTGGAAGGGGGGGGAAAGTGTCCGGACTGGAAGGGAATAAAAGTGTCTGGACTGGAAGGGGATAAAAAGTGTCTGGACTGAAGGGGGGGGGAAAGTGTCTGGACTGGAAGGGGGGAAAAGTGTCCGGACTGGAAGGGGATAAAAGTGACCGGACTGGAGGGGGGGGAAAGTGTCCGGACTGGAAGGGGGTGAAAGTGTGTCCGGACTGGAAGGGGGTAAAAGTGTCTGGACTGGAAGGGTTTAAAAAGTGTCCGGACTGGAAGGGGGGGAAAGTGTCCGGACTGGAAGGGGATAAAAGTGTCCGGACTGGAAGGGGGGGAAAGTGTCTGGACTGGAAGGGGGGGAAAGTGTGTCCGGACTGGAAGGGGATAAAAGTGTCCGGACTGGAAGGGGGGGAAAGTGTCTGGACTGGAAGGGGGGGAAAGTGTCTGGACTGGAAGGGGGGGAAAGTGTCCGGACTAGAAGTGGTTAAAGGAAACATCCATACATTCCCTTTAAGCAGAGAGGCAGGTAGAGGGGATCTGGGAGGCGGCTCTGGTGTGATTACCATTGGGAATGTCCGCCAGCTGTCAAAGCACCTTGTCTGGTTCTCCGCCGCATCTCATTGCAATGTTCTCATTCTGTATTTAAATACAAGACAATTTTCCTTTAAGCCAAAACATTTCCAACATCTCGTTCCGGAGACCACGAACTGGACACCTAATTGCAGTTTTTATATTGCTTCTTTTCTGCCATTCAAGACAATAAATGTCAAGGAATCTTTTTCGACTTTCATATGTGATCATCCATTTATAATAAGGCTGACAGGAGACACTGCAATATATTGCTTAAGACTGTCCATTTACAGGAGATGAATTTCAATTTATTGGATCTGCGCACTATTACCGGCCTTTTCTTCGTTCCCCGAACCCCCGGCATTAGGCGCTGAAAGACATGTGCTCTTTCCAGAGTGTTTTATTTACTTTGTGATTAGATTACAGTCTAGGCATTGACTTGGGGGCTGCTTTTTCATTAGCTGCGAGAAAGGCTTTACGATCGCGGCTGTCCGTCCTCCCTATCGCCGCTGAATCCCGAGGACCATTTTTCTAGGAAATGGAGTGATAGCCGAGGACTTTTTTTTTTTTATAATCAAGGGTAAAACTTTCTAAGGAGATGGTCAGAAGTGTTTGTGGTTCGCTTGGAGGAAGCCTCGTGAGCAGCAAAGGCAGAGGGAAGGGAAGTAGGCCTAGGAGGTCTATAGGGGGCCTATTTATGGAACTCGTAAAATTTGCACAAATCTGCTTTTGAGAACCAGTATTAATAGTGATTTTTTTTTTCTAGTACACTATTTATGTATATGTGAGATGGGGGATATTTAAAATTCGATTTTGGGGGAATTTGCGGAAAAAATTCGATTCGGTCGAAAATATTCGCTGGAATTTAAATTATAAAAAAGGGTGTTTTAGGCTTTAAGAGCCTTTATTTAGTGCAGAACACTGTACTTTAATTTAAATGCCCCCCGGAGTCTGCTGGGAAAAGAAATAACTTTAGCAGTATGACATGCAGAGAGTGCCGTCGTTTTTAGAATCACCCCACCTTCACTCATTTGGGGGCAGTCACGGGGCCAAAACCAGATGTGGGGCCCCCAGGTTGGCGGGGGGGCAGCAGCAAAGGGGGGCCCTACAGCACCCCTTGCAAAATGGAACCCCCCAGCAGTGGAGGAGACCCGAAAGTGGAAGGGAGTGTGACGTGGAGACCCCAAAAGGGGAGCCGTACAGGGGCCCTGACACATCTGGACCTGGGCAGCCATGAGGAGGCGGGGAAGGGGCCATGACAGATTAGGGCCGGCAGCGCATGAGGAGTCGGTAAGGGGCCCCTGAGATTACGGGCTGGGACAGAATGGGGGGCCATACGCACCCTATGACAAAATGGAACCCACCAGCGTGTGAGGAAACCTGAAAATGGCACATGGGAGAGGTGGCGATGGAGACGCAGCAATGGGGGGCCGTACAGGGGCCCCTGAACACCTGGGGCCCCGCAATGAGGAGGCGGTTTAAAGGGGCCATGACAGATTCGGGCCTGGGGCGCTGAGGAGCGGTCGGGGGGCCCCTGGCAGATTACGGGCCCGGCAGCAGCAAGGGCGGCCGTTTCAGACCCCATGCAAAAAGGAAACCACCGCAGTGGTTTTGGGGAACTGAAATGGCACTGGAAGTGTGGCTGGAGACAGCAGCAATGGGAGGCCGTAAGGGACCCATGACACACTCTGGACCCGGCGCGCATGAGGGGCGGTACAGGGCCCTGAAAATTTCGGGCCTGGCGCAGCATGGGAGTCGGTAGGGGGCCAGA